GCCCTAACGCAGTAAATGAGCATGAAATCCAATCCAACCAAAGGGAACTTGAGGCCTTAACTGATGTTGTGGGAACAATATTGGGGCCCTATAAAAGAAAACCCCCCAAAACAAATGATCTCGTCTGAAAGTGTAGAAATTGAGGAGAAGCAATGGGAAAACTCTTGTTGTCTCACCTCATCAAAAAACCTCCTAAAAGTCATCAACAGTTGTCCATAGTTCCCTGACATTGAATCCCTAAAGCACCTAAACCAGGTTATCATCAGCCTTTTGATTTTGGGTGTTTTTCCATGCAATAAAGGAACGGAAGGAAGAAAGGAAGGAAGAAAGGAAGGAAGAAAGGAAGGAAGAAAGGAAGGAAGAAAGGAAGGAAGAAAGGAAGGAAGAAAGGAAGGAAGAAAGGAAGGAAGAAAGGAAGGAAGAAAGGAAGGAAGGGGTCAAAATAGTTTACAACCCATTTATTTTCAGCAGTACCTTCTAGTTGGCAACATCAAGGCAAGAATTATCTACTCCAGAAACAAAGTGAAATAGCTTTCAAACAATTTGTACTACAAAAGCATTATCTTACTGAATGTTTCTGCAGTGCCTTCCCTCTCCTGCTCTCAAACTGCTCTTCAGGAGTTTTGGGCTTCAAAAGTAAACAAAACAAACCTGCCCCTCTCACCTCTCCCACACAAGCACATACACACACTCAAGGGAATGTAAAAAAACCCTGAAAATACGAAGTAAAGGGATGTTATTTCTCAATGCAATTTGACAGCTCTTTGTCTTTTCAAGCCATTCCAGATTTAGAGATTTAAGCATTTACATATTTACTGGCCTTCTGGCAAACTTCTAGTATGACAGTATGTACGTGTGTGCTTATGTGCCTGTGTACATGGGAGGGGATAGCAGGAAGGATGCAGTTTTTTTCCATACATACACACAATTTTTCACAATCTCAAAGGGACACAGTAATGCCATCCAGATAAAAATCCTCTTAAAACCCAGGGAAACCCCACTTTGTAAATTCACTGAATGTTCCACATAGCAATGTATTACAGGGAAGAATGCATGACTTAAGATAAATCAAATGCACACAGGACGCCAAGATCTAAGGCACAGATGGAAACATTCTAGTAAGTCTCCCTTCAAGGAACACTTCCCAAGGGGTCTGGAAAAGCACGGAAGAACACGCCAATCAGGTCAAATGGTATTAATTAAGAATCCTTTGGTTTTGTGCAGAGATCAGACTGTCAAGATGAAGCATGCACTTGTCTCTGTTCCTACGACTCATTAATTCCTTCAATTCTGGTTTGCTCCTAGACTTTCATCATTTACTCCTCCTGCTATCAGGGAGCATCATACAAGCCTAGTAACTACATCAGATAACACACAAGTTCTCCAGAACTTGCGTTTGAGGTGGGGGTCATCTACAATATATGGATTGATAGAATTCAAGGTCAGAAGGAGCCACTAGATGACCTCAATTTGACTTTGTGCATATCACAGGCCATAAATATTTTATCTAGCCATTCCTTTATTGAATTAAATATTTTGGACTTGATTGAATATGACTTGTATTCCATCATACAGGGATTCTTTAAAAGTTTAGCACCAATTCACTGGAGACAGACGTGCACCATCTGTAATTTTGTGTAGAGTATAGGCACTGTGTGTTTGGCTTGCTTAAGTATACTTTGGTGAGACGGAGGAAATCAGACTGCTTAAGTTAGGGGAAAAAGTGTTAACAACATTTAACCTTTTTTTTTTTTTTTTTAAAAGAATTATAGTATTTAGACTCCTCAGTGGGTAAAAAAGACAGACTAAGGAGTTCAAATATAAACCAAAGTGGAAAACTAGGCAGGAATTAATACATACATGGTCAATCTCTTTTCATACCAATTCTCAATACTTCTACTGTGCGGATGTGAGACATAATACAGGTTTTTCCTCCTGTGTTTCCAAATGAAGTGAAATCATACCCCTCACAAGGTTGACTGATAAAAGAAAAGAATTCTGGTTTGCAATAATATGGTGATTAAAAAAAAAGCCAACATTGAATCACTTCTTCAAAAAGCAGTCACATAATTTCTGGTAATTGCACTACGTGGAAAGTATCTTTTCACTTTTCCTCCCCCCCTCCTACACTCTTGCCTAAGTAAGCAATTTTGGATTTAATTTTTTGCTCTTTACCATGTTAAGATTTGCAGTCTTTTAATAGTGCCATGAGCTTGTTTCTGGACTGAGCTTGTTTCTGGACTACGAATTATTAAAATAAGCGCTTCCCCTCCTATTGTAACTAGCTCATGGTGCAATGAGCATGATGGTTTTTCCATCCACATCCAGAGAAAAACTGCTAATGGACAAAATTTTTAGCAGTTCAGTCACACTACCCCTTCCTATTCCTTTAAGGTCGCTTTCAGCTTCCAATTCATTCAGTGAGATCTCAGATGTCAGGATTATAAGCTTAGAAGTCGTCAGACTTCCCAGGGCTTTGAAGTATGCTTGTAGTGCCCTTCGCTCGTTGAAACAAAATTCTCATGTCGTTGATATAGTAATGATCACAGCACAATCACTGCCTGACAAGCGGGAGACCACATTGCAGGGGAGGCATTACAGAATTTGTTCATCTGAAAAGTACAGCAAAAACACATGTGAGTCTGTTCTTGAACAATTTGCCTACTGATTTCTTTCTAGAAAACAGGATACATATTTTTAACATGCCAATACGCATGTAGATATCTGTGCATCTTGATGAGATAGCCCAGCAAAGAAAGAACTTGAGGGATGCTCCTCAGCTAATCACAGTGTTAAATGACTTTACTGGAACCAAGTTCACAATCAATGATAAAAATGGGAGGATTTAAAGCACTGATTTAAAAAAGAGTTTACACTTATTCAACACTTTTTATCTAGATGCATCCCAAAGAATATTGCTTAATTGATTACAACATTACATACAAAAGGCCTAGATATGGATCCCCCTAGAAAATCTACTCACTATTTAACTATGACAACTTTTATACACTATTTCAACAAACCATTCCTTAGTTGAAGCCTGGATTTTTGTTGGTTCTGTCACAGGGACACAGGTTTTCACATGTGCCACAAACTTCAAATGATATGTCAGATCTACTGCAAAAAAAATTAAACAGCACAGCACCTCCTCCTTTGCCTGTACCGCTTCAGAAAGGCATGCTGGTACTTAGATCATGCCATTTTGTCTGCCCGTTGGGCTCCTTTCCCCCCCGGCAGACCCCTTCAGCCCCCAATTCCTCAACTCACAGTACCTCTGCTCAGGGAGAGGGCTCTGAGGTTAACCTCTCCTGCTTTCTTCTTTCTACAGTCCTGCTCACACATAAGCAAACTCTGCAATGAAAGCCATTGGCTGCAAAATCTCAGGACAAAGAAGAAAGAAAAATACTGCCCATGCTTAGTCCTACTCCCCAGGCCTATTGCTTCTTTTTAAACTTTGGCCCACCAAGTGGAGAAGACTGGGGACAACGCTGAGAAAAACTACATCCCCCAAAGGAGAACCTACTGACCCCATTTCAGCATGTGCAACACCCAAATGTTTTAGCTGCTCCTCATTTTAGCACTGTGATAGCCTGCTAATCACCTCCAGGCAGCCTGCTTTTGAAACTGGAAGAAAACGACTCAGAGGAGGTATAAGGGAAATATTACCCGCAGTTTGCATAGCTCTTAAGAATCAGAATCAAGTAATGAGTGGAATTACGAGGGTCATAGGATCATTCCAGACTATGAACAATCAGCCGGAACGAATATCCCAATGCTGTCTCAGGATGGACAGACTATAATTGCTGTAACGAGACTCAGTTTATCTGCAGCAGAGCACAGTGCTTGCTGAGACTGACACAGAAAAACATTATGCAGTTTTTTGGCTTTTAAACATATTTTTATGTTTTGTAATTCATGCTGAACATAACCTTCTCATACAGACCAAATTTAGCTAAGTCCTTCAGGTTTTTCAGAGAGAAGGCAAAAAGAGCAAGCAAAAAAGCCAAAGCAGCAAAGAACTGACTATAAGTCCACGTGGTTTGATATAGTTTCTGACATAACAAAAAAGCCAATTTCTTAACATTACAAACTCAGTTCTTGTCTCTGAAGCACTACTACATTTATCTATGGATGTGTTTTGTATGTGCACTTTTTATGACGAAGGCAGCTAAACTCTGCAGAGTGCAAGAAAACAGTTCATAGATTAAATGGGTATGAAATTCATGTATCTATCCTAACTGCAGAATCTATGCAATCTAAAACTGCTTTCTTGCACTTACTGCACAGCCTGCTAGTCACTTGCAATGGCTATCAGGAAAAATAATAAAAATCAGCTACTTTATTTGCTAGTAAATAAGGCATGTCTTGAAATTGACCATATGCAATGACACACTCATTAAAATAAAAATACACAAAACACAGCCTGAGATTTTAGTTCTAGTATTTTTGCCACGAGTTGACATCATTGACGGATTTTTCTCTTCCTTTGGTTTTTAATATGATCCTGTTTAAAAATTTTCGCTATTCAAGTAAAACAAATGGAACTGAACACCAGAAAACAAAATAAAAAGCACATTTTGTTTCATGAAATTGAAAGTGTATTTCCCCTTTAAGGGAACATTCCTTGGTGTACAAGATTGACACTTCAGAGAACTTCGTACTTGAAGCTCTTCCATAGAAATATGTTTGTTGCATATATATGCATGCTGCATTGATGGAGATATATTGCTGCCTGCAGGACTCAAACCTGCTAAATTTACCTGAGCTTGGCGTTTTCTCACTTAACGGAGTACAGCACAGCACTGAAGAGGAATCAAAATGTTATGACAACGTTGCATCATACTTCCACATATTCTGAAGGCAGAGCCAGATGCCCTGAACAATGTCTCGGTTGGTGGAGAGAATTCTTTCTAAAGTGCACCAACTGAAAGGAGGCTCGCCAGGCTGCTAGATCTGCAGGTTCTCCACCCCTTGTATAAGCAACTCATTGTCTTTGGTTGTTAGGTTTCGCCAGCTGTTTTGTTCATCTTGTTAACTGCTGCAGCAGCTTGTTCTGGCAGGCATGATGGATCCGACAGAATTGAGGTGGTTGTACTTAGATGCCGGAGGGTGTTCAGCACCACTGTAAAAGAAGTCAGAAAAGTATCAAGAAAAGCCCTGAGTCTGACTGCAAACAGATCCACACCGGACAGCGTGCAGGTACTGCAAGGCTGTTACAGATGACAGAATTACGGAAATACTTCTGCAAAGCATGCACACCTTCACACACAGCGACAGCAATAAATGGAGATGTGCAAGAACTGTGCCCAGGGAACAAGGAATGGAGATCTAGGACTTTTTAAAAACACACCTATTTCTTCTACAAAAGAGATACCACTTGGCAATTATAACTGTAAATGTCAACACTTGCTGAATTGCAAGGGGGAAAGGATCAAGCAATCATGCCCAAAAGAAGGTCATTCCAAAGCTGAATACAAGTCTCATAAGTCTTCCTTCATAATGAGATAAATCACACTGCCAAACTTACTCTAACCAGAGTGGAGTATTTGAAATTTAAATGCAGCTTGAGACTGTTTAAAAGTCAGCAATTTAGGCTGGTTTTTTTTTCTGTTCAGTGTTAAGCATGCAACCAAGTGTCTTCACAGAGGTTCTTATTTTTCCACTGAGATAACAGAAAGGAACTGGAAGTCATATTCAGCATCATGTGCTTTCTTTGTCATCCTCTAACTTTCAAGAAATGGTATTACATAGGGTCTCACTTCCTACGATCTAGAGTAACCGCTGGACAGAACTTCACTTACTTGGCCTCAGAACAGGAAGAGAACAGTGCTGATCCAACCAGGCCATTGCAGTTTGATTCAGATCCTTAATGGAATGGTTTCCACAACAAGCTTTGAAGGACTCAAACAATGGCTTAATAATAATGCTGAACTGCAAATCATTAATTGTTAAGGGAGACAACAAAGGAGGAGTTCAAAACATAGAAATGGGAAAGGCTACTACAGCTCAGTGCGCAGAGAAAACGGTGGACTTCTACATGGACTTCAACTACAAGAGGGATTGCAACATTCCAAAATACGTTTTTTAAAATCTGTAACACTAAGACAAAGGAAAAAATTGAACCCTAGTTCCTAGTGATACTCATTATTTTTTGCAAAATTCCTGTACAACTCACCTGATCTCCTACAAACGAACTGCACGCTGTGGCACTGTTGCAAGCGCATGAGGATCTGAAACTTCTACATACAGGTAATTTGTTCAATTTCTTCGGTGTCACCTTTTTGATATAACACTGATGCTTCCCTAGCAGAAGGATATAGAAGCTTTAGTGTAACCACACCACTTACCATAGCACATCACAGGTGCATCCAAGGTGGGGTACCTGGATGCATCTTGCCTGGCAATAGTGAGCCCAGCACAGGCCAGCAGTGCAAGCAGTCAGCCGGTTTCTCAGGCAGATTTTTCAGCAAACACTCAAGTTCTCTGCTACTGCAGCTAAACAAAGACCTCAAAGTACATTAGCATATTCTCAGAGATGATCAATGGCGTGGCAACGATTCCCACACCAAGGACCAGACTTGCTGATCTGCATCTACGTGGACCAGAACAGTAGCAAGCTGAAGAATGTCAGGCTTTTCTTTAAGCTCTCTATTGTCACAGATCGGAAGGATGGGCCTGGAGTTGGCAATAACCTTCCTGTCAGAAAAGGAGCAGACAGAATTCTTAGCCTGTAGCGTATCAAAACGTACAGAGCACCACCACAAGCAGCCCCAGTTCCCAGGCTTTCAGATGAGTTTTCCTGGAATGCTCACCATACTTGAACTACAAAACAGCTTGTTACAACATCACCACCATAATTCACCAAGTAAATTCCTGCTTACAAGTACATTTATTTCAGAAGGTGGTTGGATGGTAAAATTCATCTGAAGGCTCAGAATCTGTGGGTTTTTACCACGTTACTCCAGATGGGTTTTTCTGACTACAGTCAGCAGCATGTGAGAATGTGGCCCAAACCAATCCCAGCATTGTCATGTGCCTCTTTTTCTCACTGTGGCTGACAATCAAGATAGGTCTAACAACTGACTGGAATATTTGAGAGGATTTGCATGCCACTAAAGACTTTTACAGAGTGACTGGAAGAACAACATGGGTATTATTCTATCGATATTTTAATATTCAAGAGTATTCTATTCTTGGGTTATCTCTAGTAGCCCAAGACCAGATTACTCACTTCCCTCCGATGTGGAACAGAAACTATGGTATTTTCATATTTATAATGAAACTGCCCTTTGCTCTTTTACAGTCATTTCACGAGGAGGAGATTTATTATCATCATCACCACCACCGCCACTGGACCTTGTCAGCTTTTACTGCAAGACATTCTGCAATATGTCAGCATGTGCTAAGGATTCAATCCAGCTGTTAGAACAACTGTTCTGTCACAGTTACATCCTGACTTGTAACGGGAAGTTTGGGAACGTTACTTTGCCTATCATCCTTCTCTTTCACCAGCTACAGAAGCCTTTGTCTTTTCCTGAATACTACAAAACCCAGCTACCCAAAATTGCATCCTCACCCCTGATAACTTCTGCCACTTTCTAGAAGTGTCTCGCTTCCAAATTCCAGCGCTACTTAACATCTTGGAGCAGAATAAAATAAACACACTATGCAATCAGCAAACGTGTATGGGATTACCTTTAAATAGCCATTTTCATTGTTATATTAAGGACCTCTATTTTTGTAATTCCCTTGAGATTGTTCCAGAGCTAACAGTACTGTAGAATCCAGAGGTTCCACCGTTGCACCAGCTCTAAGTTACCAGAGACTGCGAGAGGTCTTGCTAAGAATTGCGTCCTAAAAGGATGCTAAAAGGAAGAGTGTCTTTCTAGGGCCAACATAAACCAGGCAACACCAAAGAAAGCATTTTCACATATCAAAGTATTAAAAATGCTGTACTTCATGCACGCACAAGCATGCACATATACACCTATATTATCCAGGTAGTTAGAGGGAAATAACCAGCACAGAACAGAGACCAAGAAAATATAAAGTGCAAATAAATAGCTATATGAACACAGGAAGTTTAATGGGAAAAGGGAAGGTAAATACTATTGCTCATTGCTAATTACCAATATCCCTGAACCAATTCAAGCTAATAATATGTTTGATCCAAACTAGTAAGCCTATACAGCACAAATGCAGCTAACGGTTTCATTCAGTTTGTGTCTTCCTACCTCCTGCATTATCATTCACTTACAAGCACAGCAGCTAGCACTGGAGAAATGAAGAAAAACTAAGTCAATTCACTGTTGTAACAAAAGACAAACAGAACACCAAAAATAAGAAAAAAGGAAGGGAAAAAAAAAGTGCAAGTTTTTAAAACTGCCATTGGCACAGCTTCAGTAACTGTTTGCAATAATCCACTCCCCAAAATCTTCGTTATTCTCTGTCCAGTTTTTCCAAAAGACTACAAGAACTACAGTTACAGAAGCAGTCTACCAAAAAAACCTTGCCTTTGTATTGCATTTTACTTTCAAGTTACCTCCCATACTTTAAGGTGAGCAAGTTCTGCCTCATGACAGCCTATAAGGCAAGGATTCATATCCACTTACAGACGTGAATGAAAACTGAGGACATACGTTATTTAAATAACCTGGCTTAAAGTCACAGCATCAGAATCCAGAGTTCTTGGCTTGAAATATATTAGTAGCAAACCTTAAGGCCCGCAGGTTAATATAAAAGGATACAATCCAAAACTTCCAGTTCTGCAGCGTCCTGCTTCTCACATACTCATCAAACATTTTGCTCATGTGGTCAAATCTTTGCCGTGTTATGGGAACCCCGGTAGCAGGGAGCTGCTGTTGACAAGAACTGAAAAGAAGATGTTCCGAGCTCAGAATCCCCACCCAGAAAGGACACACTTCTCTTCCAGACTAAATTCTGGCAAGAGAAAAGTGCGTATCCCCAGCATCCCTGACCAAGGTGGCTTCCCAGTGCATGACCTCCCAGAATGTAACTGTTATAGCCAGGAATACATACTGTCTCCCCATCAATTTTGTCTATATTCACACAGCAAAGCAACTTTTCAAGCTGCTACACACTTCTTATTAAAAGCAACAAAACTGAAAACAAAGTATAACATAGAACAAAGTAGTTTTTGGGACATTAGAGTCAAGGAAAAATTTACAGAGTTACTTCTGAGCAATGTTACAGAAGAAAATGTTACAGAGATTCCTAAGAAACAGATCAATTTAAGATAAAACCAACCAGACATCATCATACTTCTAAAGAAAAATAAAGATTTTGATGTGCTGTAAGTCTAACACAATGCCTAAGCCTAATACTTCTGTAGATGGAAGAAAAACCACTGGGATTCTCAATGTGCTCTGCAATAGTACATAACTATCGTAAACCTACAGAGGAAACTGAGGCACCAGGAAGGTGAAGTGACTTATCAGAGTTATGTGCAGCCAGTGGCAAGCTCCTTGATTCCAAGTCCTGCGTCTGATGTATTCAATCATATTTCCTGCAAAAATCGACTGCATTTGGAAAGAAAACTGCAGCAAAGCCATCATGAAGAGCAAGAGTGTTTGATCAGCCAGTGAGCATAGCTTTAAAAAAATACCATTACTGGCTTCTCAGAATTAGTCTAACTGACCTGATGCATCTTTTCTGATGCTGCCACTGTTGTGCATTCACGCTCAGAGCTTGCTGAAAATCCACACGGTTTGCTACCAATGCCCATCCCACAGCAACTATGCTTTTTGTTTGGAAGTTGGTAGCAACGCTATACTTCTGTTCAATACCCATCTCTTGTTTGGCATGACATCCGAGGCAAACATTCCCTGTTGTTAGCCAAAGCAACATTCAAGCTGCTCTGCTTCATTACAGAAAGCTCCCCAAATCTCACATGATGGTAGCGTTTAGCTCCTCGATTTCTTCCCGAAGGCGCCTGGTTTCCTCTTGCATCTGTGTTCTTTCCTGCTGTAGTTTAGCGATATATTCTACAGTTTTCTGGAGCGTGATTGCATGGCTGATCTAGACCAAACACAAACATAGAGCTCACTTTCTGTAACAAAGCTAGACAGATGAAGAGTTTGCCCCTGACCTGCTGTAACACCCAGAAAAGCAGTTAAGTACCTTTTCTTAAGTTTCCTTCACTGTGTGCAAAGCACACAGATAGGCAGAGCAAAACACTTAATGTAATACTAAACTCTTCATTTCTCTGACTCCTGTTTGCACACTAGTACAGAGAAATGTGGTTTCAGCGGTTGTTTTCTTCCACAAATTATGTTTTTGCTACTTTGTTAAAAGAAGTATTTTAATAATTTAAAAATGTTTTCCTTCATTATGTATCCTCTTAAAAACATTGAGAATTCTTACTTAGGTACTGAAGGATGTGCTACCTCTGCTGATAAGATTTATAGTGCTGTCAGAAGCATTGTTTGAAGTTGACAATATAGATTATTTATTTTGGGAAACCTGGAGTTATTAAACCGAAGGTAACACAGTTTAGCTATCACCGAAGGAGACAGAAACAATGTACAGATATTTTAAAAAATACTCTTCAGTTTTGAGGAATGAATTAAAAATCTGTACTTGAAAAATAAAATAATCGGACATTTTACTAAAGCTGAGTTTTCAAAGCTGATTACCTTTCAAATAAGCTATTCAAATCAGGAAATGAAATCCTGACAACTTATGGCCTAAATGTATAAAACTATAAAAATTATGTAAACAAATCAACATGCTGCACAATAAGCTTTCATACTGTCCATGTTTCAAAAGGTACTGGTATTTAAAGGACATTTAGAATTTTGTCGCACAGGCAAGTTTGTGTTCCAATTATTCCGATTTCAATTTAGTCAACTAACTTAACTAGTGTAGCCAGACTATGTTCTTAATTTGGACAATGAGAAGTCAGTCAGGAATTTTTTTTCCCCTCTGTAAATCTCTGTACAAAAGACAGGTGACAGAATATTTGAGAGTATTTGCAAGGCTGTGGGCACAGGGCCAAATTCTTAAAGGCAGCTGGGTGATACTAGATGTGAAGAGTCCTAGAGGAATTTTCAAAATCATCTAAACTGGCCAGGCTCCTGACTCCAGCTGGGAGATGAAGATCTCAGTGTAGGAAGTTTTAGAAATTTCCCTGGATTTTTTTTTCTTCCTCTGGCTCACTGACATGTTTCAACAGTATCTGCAGGCACACAAGGTTGCTCTGCCATGCTCTCAGCTGACCAAACGCAGCACAGCTGTGGTTAGCATGGCATGAAGCCCTCGCTAACAAGCTGCGCTCGTAGGTAGGTAAATGAGCTCAGGCCAAATGTCAAGGTATATTAAGCCAGGCCCAGCATTGTACCAACAGCATCTACCTGGCTTCTGCCTGGCTCATGGTTCAGGCAGAATAAGCTTACAATACTGGCTGGACCATAGCTTTTTCAAGTACAGCTATGGGGGCCAGAACCCATCCAGAACGGGTATAAAAAGCCAGTATGTCAGAAGAAAGGTGACATAACAGTAAATGCAAAGTCATCCTACGCTGCAAACATGACAAAAATTTTCATTACTGGAGTCTCAAGAGCAACGATTACAAAGATCAGTTTTTCTTCTTTCCCTGTTGGCTTTAAAGCTGCAGCATCTCAGACAAGACTTGTTCAATGTTTGAAGCTGCATCAAAAGAACAACAGCTAAAAGATGAAGCACTTTCACACACTCTTTTGACTATAAGCCGTGGATTTATCACCCTTCCCTTTCCAAGTCCCTCAGTTCAAGTATCTTCACTGACTGACTGGCGTTCTCAGTCAGCAGTGAAGAGATTAAATTTATTAACAACTCTTTTTAGAATGGCTGTTTCTTATAATCCACATTAAGCTGTTAGTACTGCCAAGTTACTTACCGACTTGGAGTTGGCTGAAACCAAGCTGCTCAGAGTACTGAAACCAATCTGGATATTAAACCTTCGTTTTTGTTCTGAAATATGCTTCATTCTTCGATTCTGCATAAATAAAATTAGCTCAGTCTATGCTGTTCTCCTTTATCGTACTACTGCTATGAGTACTTCAGCTATTCAGATTCAGTGTCATTATTGTTGACTTTTGGCATTCATAGTCTTCCCAGTCAAAGCCACATGACTGTAAATTTGCAAACAATGATTTAAGTTATTAAAAAGAAGTGTCCAGTGTATTAAATTCAACTCCAAACCTTGTAGGTTTTCTCTCTAAAGTAAAAATTCCTATTTAAGACCGTTACACAATTTTCTTTTCTGAAGTTAAATTCCAATTTTTGAGGCATGTGATCAGTTAGGATCTTGTTGAAGCCTTTACGTTTAAAACAGTCCATATCATTTATTCCTAACACATACATAACATCTACTGTGTAACAGGCAGTCTGACAAAAATAAAAAAGAAAAAGAAAAAAGAATCCACAACTATGGCCTACCCTGAGGATAAAGGCTTCGTCAGGAATCAGCATTTTCATTTGCAACATCAAAAACTTGGCAGCTGTTTCCACTAAAATTTTTAGAAGAAAATGAGGAGTTTGCACTTTGAGAATGCATTCTTGGCAGAGCTAGGCTTTTGGGTAGTAGCTCTCCATCACCCCATTTTATAATGGGAGAAAACAATGTAATAAAGCAGTGAAGTGACAGAAAACACAGGTTCAAGAGCAGAACTGAGATTTCCAGTGCCCTCTATGCTTTGCCATCTGAAAAAAACCCAATGCTATCCAGTAATAAAGAACTGTTTAGTCTAACTAACAATGCAGAGGAGCAAAAGAACATACATCTAGAGACTGGCAAACATCACTGCTTCTCTCGTCTTACACAAGAGTTATTAACAGTACACATCCAAAGCCATTCCTGCCAGAGCAGGTGAGCTTAAATGGCTACAAAGCCTATCTCGTTGCAGTGTCCTTACTTTTAAGAACACTCCTCCACCTAGTGGCCACTTTCCCAGCATCAGCCGGTCCTAATAATTTGTTCCTTTGTAACTTGCTCTCTAGCAGCAAGAACAGGCTGCAACTACGGATTATGAGCATTTATGCCAAACAAATAACTGCAAACTTTTATGCCAACAAATTTGCAGCATGCTCAGCAAGGGGCAGTTCTGATTCTCCTCTGCAACAGAACTAGAGTTGAGTGAAATCACAGGCTGCAAGTGTTTAAACTTACTTTTCTCCCCTGAGAGTAATCAAGCTGTCCCTGCTCACTGCAGGGGGACTAGACTAGACGACCTTTAAAGGTGCCTTCCAAGCCAAACTATTCTATGATTCTAAGCTGTCACCAACTTATAGGGTATAGAAAGACACAGAGGCCAAAAGGAGTTGGCACTTGCAAAATGGTTAAGTAACACTCCCTTTCACGACAGAATGAATGAGAGGGTTACAGCTGATTGTCCTGCACTGGTTATTTTTTGTGGCTAAGTTTCTCATACCACCACAGAAAGTGTTCTGACAAGGTCAGCTTGTGTATGAGGTACAGCCAGCTTTCAGATGCTATCTCTAGACCGCCGAGTTCTTACCCCAATAATTCTCGAAGTGTTTTACAGCTGTAAATTGTAGAGTCTGTGGAGCTGCTTCTCTGTGGAGCAGCATAGCATCACTGGAGACATGTAAGTAACTCAGCAGGTCAAGAACCCCCCCTCCAGCAACGGCCAGAGCCCTGCAGACTGAAGAGTCCCAACAGAACAATGGCAAAAAGCCATGGTTCAGAAAACTAAGCCTGAAACCTTTGACCAAGTAAACTGAGACCTGTCATAACACTCCTGTGACTCACAGCAGGAACTACTATCATGACTGTAAGGACCTGCAGAGGTACAGTTAAGCTTGGCCCCTCTGGTGACACATCCCTGAGGAGCAGGGTAGGTTATTAAAGTCTGACATCTTGAATTGAACAGAGCAGCACAGATGCAGCACCAGCTAAGCCTAAGGCACAAATACTCCACCATTCCTAAACCACAACTTACTCTCTAGTCCACGCTCAGACATCAGGGTGGAAAAGTAGCTACAAAGGCAAAAAACAAAAAGCACCTCAAAGGAAAGGAAACACACCTTAAGTGCAGCCATATTAGGGTCAGTGGCAGCTGAGCAGCTGTTCTGGGGAGACTGTGGACTGGGGCTCTGCTCAGAGGTGCAGGGGGAAGCTTGGCCTGAATTCTGACAGTCTCGGCCTTCATAAAGGAAGAAAGACAAGTCACATTAGTAAACAACTTTCCGTAGCAAATGTAACTGCTGAGAAGTTTCTATTCAGAATTGAACTGAAATGCAGTCGTCAACCAAATTATACTCATTGATGCAGCAAGCACATGCTAGAAAATGTCAAGATTGCTGGGAAAGCTTAGTATTTCATGGTACAAGGTTAATACATCCCAAATAGCGATATGTAACACTCCTTTCACACAGACACTTTTCAGCAAAGGCATGTTGGAATACACAGGCTGCTATCGTCCTGCTAGACTCCCCTGTTTGAAGCTCTAATGGCCTGGGACATGATGGTAACACTTACAAGCCATTTACCAGCAAAACCAGCATATGTCTCCGAAACCGGCCCAGATACTGCTCTATCAACATGCATGCAAAAGGAGTCTTTGCACTTACCTACTGTTAACAAGGACTGTCTCTCAGATCCTCCAATAAAAGTTATAGTTACGATACTGAACAACAAACCTATTCAGCACTTTCTACACAGATGCCTTTCAAATGGGTTTAATTTCTTGGTGACTATGACAGTACATCCTTTTCGAAGGAGCCACTTACAGGAAGCACAAAATCACAGCTTGTGGGAATGCTCCACGGTAGTTTAAGACAAAAATTGCAAACAACTGGATACAACCAAAGCTGCAAGGCGGAAGGGCCTAAAAGGCTTTTCCTCCAAAAATTATCTAAGGATCTTCAAGGCCCGTTTACACCCTGCCTAAGGAATGGAAACACACTTACATGTGTAGGGGAGAGAGAATGCTTACAGCTTTCTAACTTACTAGGTGTAGGTGAGGGAACTTGTGAACTGCTACTGTGGGAAGGGATTTGCTCTCCTTTCACCAACACATCCTGGACTACACTAGGAGAGAAGAGATGTGAGACTGTGGACTGGGTTTGTTGACTACTTGGTGCTCGCTGTGCTGGACCAACCAGAATGTTACTACGGAACTCCGTCACCCCGGGAGCCTGGGAACAGCATAGAAACAGCACAGAGAAAAACAGAGAGAAAGAAAAAGAGAGCGGGAAGAGGGGGATGGGGGCAGAGGGAGAGAAGGGATGAGAGAAAGGAAAAAGCAGGGGGGGGAGAGAGAGAAAAAGAGAGAGAGATTTGTTACCTTGCCTTTCACTAAAAGTAGCAAATTAATACATGATTAACAATCTGATGACATGAAACAAGGGCTAATATATATGGAATTGGCAGGCACTGAAGTTCAGACTTCTGGCAGGAGACCCATATCCTTTCATAATTTAAAGCAGTATTAGAAGACATCAACAGCATAATATACTAAAAACTATTTCCACCTTCCTGCATACAACATATTGGGAAACCCACTCACACACTCAAGGCATGCTTTCCAATAGGTAAACAGAAACGTGAGCATCCTGGGTTCCTTCTAGCTTCTGCATGATTAATAAAAAGCATAAACCATCCCCATTCATAGTACTGTGTATACATGCCTCTTTGTAATCTTATTGTTGTGTGAGACAGAGTCTGTGGAGACTAGATAGTGCTTCCAGGCCATAAAGTAGCTAAATTAAAAATAAGCAAACATAATGATGAATGCACAAATGCATAGGCAGGGTAACAGGTGAGATTTAGCAGACTAGTTACCCTCCTGAGCACATTACGGCTCTAACTACTTGCAAATAACAGGCCTAAAAAAACAAATATATATTTTTTTCTTCTCCTTACTCTGACAATTCCAGCTGGTGCAATTGCAACATTAGACTGAGACGTGGCTGGCGTCAAAATCCCCTCTCTTTTTAAAGGTGCTGGAGTTACAATCACAGCTCTGGACTGTCCCTGAAAGGCAGCTGAAGAACACAAGTTAGAATAGTTAATGAGACAAAAAAAAAAGCTGGAGGTTATTTTGTATGAAATAACTTGTCATTGAACAGGGGAACGGATTAATGGGCACCTATTTGGTACTATTTCATTGCAATACAAAGTGCCACCAGTTTTCTGATAATCTCAATCCCATGAATCCAGTACAAAGGACTCTAACACACCAGTTATTTCTGAGGCTTCTAGCATCACTGTCAGTGTTTCAAGGTGAATTTACAGAGGTACCTAGTAAGTCAGGGAGGTGCAAGGTGTCTTCACTCTGTGAGAGCTGGGTTTCACAGAAGGAGGATCATCTTCACCTCTCCTCTCACATTCATACTTCTTGGATCTCACACTTGCTCTGCTGACCCAGAAAGGGTCAAGGACAGAAACCAACTGAAGGATGCATATTTGATACTCCACGCTTCTTTGTATATGTGTATTAAATTCTCTTCCGCACCACTGCACTCTACTAGCTTCTTTCACTATCTGGTTTTACAGCTGCTTTACGTGACACACAAGCACAAGACAACCAAATGTGATGGGGAAACGGCACCAAAATTCCATAAAATAGGCTAAAGAACCAGGAGTTCTGCAGTGTTAGACAGCTAGAGATAACTGTGAATAGCAGCAATTGTCTCCACAGAGAAAGTTACAAAAAATTCTCAAAAAAAGTCTATATAGGAGGCTTGCCCCCATGACAGGAATCAGGATCCTTTCTCTAAAATCTTTTTCACCACTGCAGTATTCTAGTCTAACATAAATCTGTTAAGGTCTCAGTTTAACCAATGCGGATGTACAGTTATTGACACGGCATTAATGCTGACATTGTTCTTGCCCAGGCTTTAGTGAGAACATGACTAACCATCCTATACTGTTACTAAGGGAAGAACCACGCACAGACAGCTTCTGTACGCTTTTTGAGAAAACTAAATTTACTCAGTTTCATTCTAGCCTGTATTGGCTTCAGCTCTCCTTTGTACTAATAAATTCACGATGTATGAAAAGTGTCAAGAGTAGGTCAGTCACTGCCAACCCACTCCTCCGCAGTTTAGCATCAGGGTATTGAAGGACACACACAGCAGAACAGGGAGGCAGTGCAGGGTATCTAATGTCCTCTCCCCTACTGTGTCATCTGTGACTACCAACAACAGTGTTTTGAATCACCTAAAGTTTCTGTAGAGCCATTGTTAGAAAGGCCTGCGGATTGCACAAACCTTGTGTCAGTCCTTGCGTGGATATATCTAGCAGAGAGCACTGTCACTCTGATACGGGGAGTTCATTCTTTGAGCATTCCCACATACGAAGCTGGAATCGAAACCCTTCCACCATTCACCAATATTCAGCCAGAGTTATGACATCTCTACTGAGCTAGAGAGCGTACTCTTACCAGTGCATTAATGCTGCTGCACAAACTTGGCATTTCTGACTTCCACATTTGGGTAACTGTAACAATCAGCACATATTTAGATACTCCTTTAGATTTTTCATGTTTCTACCCTACATATACATCTTTTGCAGACTTTCCTCTCAAAATCGGAACATTTATCCTGAAGTGACGATAGCAGAGTTCTTTCCCATGTGAAGTCTTGTACTCGATGAGACAATCTGTGCAGATTTTTGAGTCCTTATATCACAGGGCAGTAAATGTTATACATCCCTTTCTAATCCAGGTTACAACACAATTTGCTTCATCGTCATGAGATGATTTGTTTGTCCTGAGCACAAATGACAAGCATAAATGCCTCAGTTACAAGTACTGATGTTTATTCTATTGGCAAAAAGAAAGCTCCAGGCTTTACATAAAATCTTGGATTTGACCTCTGAGCTTGGTGTCCTCATAGTTTAGGAGCACTGTGATCCCTGAACACATGTTACTACCAGGAATGAAAAACAGGAACAACTTTCCATCTAGATGAGAAACAAAGCCGTTTGTTGTGATGGTCTAGAAGTAACCAATGAAGTATTGGGCAAGTGATGTATGGGGTGAGGAACAACCCAGGAAGCACTAAGAAAGCTAGGAGCAAAGGCTTTCTGAAAATGAGAGTTGCCTACAATGCTCTACTAGGTGAGAAACATATGTCTTCACTGCTGAAGGTACATGGATTCTTGCTTTATAACGTACTATAGACTGAAACGTGGCCATTAACACCCTAGTGCTATTAATAATGGACCAACTTGTTCCCAGTGACTTGCTGGAATTAGATCCTTGGGTCTGTTCTACTCCTGAACAGTGGTTTGGTTTTTTGGGGTTTTTTTTGGCGTTTTTTGGGGGGTTTTTTTGGTTTTTTGGGGTGGGTAACCACAATGCCAGGCCCTGGCAGACACACCTACTCCTTAATAAAGCCTGTTTAACAATACTCCTCCAGGCAGGGTTTTTCTTGGATTATTGATGCACATTTCAGGTGGCTGAAGTCACTTGGCCACCAGCCAGCACAAGTCTAAAATAATCCCGAGAAAAAGCGTACTGCCTGTCCTGCTCTAGCCCTGAGCTTTCCCACAAGAACCACCACAAGCAAAACCCTCCCTGCTCACGCTTGCTATTCTTAGCCTTGTGCAGTGCCAATGGCTCCAAATCACACCCAGTGTGGAGGTCCCAGCCTATCAGTTAGGCACTCATACTCTGAACTGAAAACCATGTGCTCCTGACAGCATCTCAAGTCTGTAGATTGCTTGAGACAAAGATCTCCAGCTCCCCCTGCCTGTTCTTAGTCCTTCCCCACTGGAAGGGCTGATTCTCATCACCCTGGTCCTGCGAAGGAGCACTGATGGTGGATGAGAAGCATGCTTCCATCTGGACCAATGCTGTGGTCCACTTCAATAGCTGCTGCCTGGCCAACACCGTACTCTTGTCTCAAAGAGTTTCAGGCACACCCAAGATGAGTTTCAGAATACATCCAAAATATTAGCAAAGGATGTAGACCAGTACCCTGGTATTACACGGGGTGGGATGATGCACAGGCAGGCACAGCGACTTGTCCAGGGCAACCAGATGAGTCAATGACATGCACAGATCTGCCATTCTCCATCCTACACTATCTCCCTACCATCCCCTACTCTACTGCAGTTGAATGCTCTGAGGGGCAGAGTGAATCAGAACAGCATTAAACATCAAAACCAAGGTTTCTATGGGGCAGGAGCAGAGAGCTCTAGTCATCCCATGTGCTGATGCAGCTACACAGCCCAGCACAAATTTTACAGGCAGATACCTGCTTTCACAGGTTGGCTTTTCACGCTCACAACCAAACTGCTTCCAGTCCTTGGAGCAATCCAGAGCATCCCATTGAACAGTGTAGCCACACACCAATGAATTCAGGAGTTCCTTGGACAACCTCAGGAAGCTGTATTTTTACTTACTATGTAAACCAAGAAAAAGCAAGAACGTCTCTCCCTCCTGCTAGTCCCACTCAGAAAAGAAAAACATCACCCCAGCAGTGCTTCTCACCTGGTGTGATGAAGGCATTCTTTAACAATAAGGGCACTGTTTCAGGCTTCGGAGCAGGCACTATTTTTTGCGACTGTTTGGGCCTTGTCCCAGCACTGGCCAGAGGAACAGCTTTGAGGAGTGCAAATGTCAGTTGGGATTGCAGCTGGGGCCAGGGCTGCCCCTGCAGGACAGTAGTCTGGAAAGCCAGGTTACAAGGCACTCCTGCACCTGGCTGCTGCGTTGCCAGGACAAGGTTCTGGCTCTGGCTGAAGGTGGTGGCAGGGGCATTGTGGGTCAATGTAGCAGAAGCTGTGTGGGTGATAACTGTAGATTCACAGAGGCCAAACTTCTGGGTTTCTGGTGCAGCAAACGCAGTTGGTGGAGAGCTTAAGCTAGAATTCAGAGGCACTGCAGGCAACGGGGACTGGTGCTGTTGTGTCGCAGGTTGAAGCAGTGGCAAGGGTGTCTGAAACACTGGCATAAAAATTTGTGGCCCGCTGAGAGACGAGTCAGGAGTGAAGTCTGCTGGCTGGATGAAAGATCCCCCGCTTCTAATGCTGGAACACTGGTCAGTACCAACATCAGGAATGACAGGAGCAGGTACTGAGGAAGCAATAAGTCCTTCACTGATGTTCCCTGCTGGAAGTGTGCTGGGCAATGAACCCGACGGCAGGACAGGAGACTGACAGAAAAGAAAAATATTACAGATTCAGACATGACCCCTGAAACTCTTGTCTGATCTCCTTCCGAGAAGGACATGGCTTATGTCTGAGAGTCTTTGTAGCACGTACATGTCTGAGATGAGGCTGTTTTAAACACTGAGAACCTCTCTTACCTGGGAAGAATGGCTGCTGCTGTCTGTTGTAGCTGAGCTGACAGCAGACACAGAAGGGAAATAACTACTGGAACGACTGGGCGTGAATAAATCTGAAATATGAAAAACCACCCATTAATTTTCTATTTTTCATATCAATGTACAGCATTGCTAGATACTAAAATTCACAGGAATAGCAATATTATTTAGCAAACAATGAAACCACGAGATTTTTGCTTCATACAACTGCTGCTGATTGAGCAATGAATTATTGTCTTCCAAAGGAACTGATCTCTTCAGGGGAGACTTCTTAACTTTCATGCAAGCTGAGGACAATACAAAAATCAGTCCACCGTTTAAGGTTCACCTACACACAGATAGCCAAGAGCTGATTCTCAATGCAGTCCCACAAAATTCAGTTATCTGATGCAGACTGCGTGCAGGCCCAACAAACAGATAGGACTTTTGACTTCCATGAAGATCCGTAACCATCAAAGTTGTTAGTAGTTTAATGTCATGTAATTCTTGAGAATATCAGAAAATGTTCCAAGGCAAACAAAGTGTTAAATCACTTCATCACTAAGTGTTAAATGGGAAAACCTTAGTGATTCTGTGAGTTCTCCTGTCCACATCTGATGTTCTATCTTTAATTACTCAGTGACTTAAGGTCTAAATGCTATTCTTTTGAAAAGTAAATTAACAACCAGGTTCAAACCTTGGAATAAACAATCCTAAAGTGACTCTCGAACCCAGGTGAGTAAAGGACTGGGGTCACAGTAACAACACAGTCTACCCACATATGCACCTGCCTGAAATAATGAACAATGAAAACATATACCAAGTGTTCTTCACCTTTCACTCAAATCTCCTGCCTTCTAAAGAGAGTAGGTATCTGCAATGTTCAATCTTCTGTTAAAAACTAGTTCACAAATCATTGCAATTTTAAAGAAATTAATTGTCTATATAGAGGATTCTTACCCTGAAAAGGCTCAAAAGTGTCCATAAAATCAAAATTTGGCTGGAGAGGAATAAGCCCTGGTTGAATCATGTCAGCATTTCCTAAGTGTGCTGCAAAATTCAGGAGACAGATTAGATTAGCATCATCACTCCCACAGTAACAGCAGTAGGAATACAGTAATTTGGCTAGAATACCAACACATGCTCCACAGCCAGGCTTGGCCAGGATGTTTACAGAGAAACTGCTGCTGAAATGAACTGAACATCTGCTTTTCAGAACTACAGCACAGTTCTGAAATAAAAACCATTGGGGAATGAAAAACTTTCAACTAGTAAAGTGGAAGAGGTGAAACCTGAAGGCTCTAATAACTAACAACTAGGGATTGCCAAGCTTGGATGCCTCCTGCTCCCAAACCTCCTGTGCTGCTCCTACTGCACAATACATAAACTTGCTGGGAAGTACAACCTGAACTACCACAGCTCATAGCACAGCATTTTAAAATAAACCATCATCCATTTAATTTTGGCTCAAGTACGCTTCACATAAACCACAGTTGCTTTGGAGTTGCTCAGACAGCTTAGACGTCCACGCAGCAAGGATGATGCATAGTGGACGTCTGCTGTCCCATTAGACAGTCAGAGCCTTCAGTGAGAGAGCATTCAACAAAAGTGTATACTCTTGGGATTGTTTTTACAGGAGATGTGACTTGCACTTTTTCTAAGGGACATATCCAAAGAAAAACACATAAGCACTCCCTTAAAAATATAGACACATACATATGCTTTGAGATAAGTAACAATGTCTTCACCACTGATAAAGGTAAACACTGCTTATTACAGATTTATTCAGAGCAGTGTTGGAGGACAATGTTAGCAGCAGCATGTAAGAAGGTGAGACAGAAACTAAATTTGGATGAATAACTGGGATTCCATAATCTAGAAAGCATAAGACAGCTGCATTCTATGACCGATTTTTATCTGTATCAGCAAAGTAAGATAAATTTCTTAGGCCAGACTAGAAGAGCAGCAAAGCAACAAACCAGACTTCTAGAGGTTCCCACTGCAACATAGCTAACAGTCAACAAATACCTATGTCCCTGGAATTTGGCCAGGAAACCAGCTGATGTGAAGACAGGGTGGAAAACAGCGTGTCAGTGAACTCGGACATAAGCATATCTGCATCCAAGAGGCTGCCTTCCTCCATAGGGACAGGGGTTTCTCTGCCATACCTTCTTTTTTGCCAGAGAACCACATCATCATCCTGCCAAAGGAAAGGAAGGAACGTCAGGCTGTCTAGACAATGTTAAAGCAGTCTGGTGCAGATATATAAAAAGTCTACGTTTTTAGAGAAAGAAACTCTTTAGGAGCCATGCAGATGGACTGAAACAGATCAGTGGTACTTCTAATACACAAACAACTTTAGCTCACTGATTTGAGCAACAACAGAAAACTTCAGTAGAATATCATGCCACTCTGCGAAAGGGTTTTGCCCCAAAATAAACAGATGTTGACTAGAAGGACATAAGACAAAATAACTTCATCAACACTTTCTAGTTTCATTGATTACATATATATTTTGCACCTACAGTTTAATGATCCCTTGGTTTGAATAAAGATTCAAAAATAACAAGCACAGCAAAAACTCAAAGCAAGTAACTATCTTGAATTATATCTGATTCTCTGAAATGTAGTTAGGTGTAACTGTAATGTGACTTTGCACAAGGTATGCCAATATTCTTGTGGGCACTTCTAATCCATGAAAAATACAACATAATGTGCCTTGGCTTAACCGTCCTTCGCTACAGGCTAAGCTAAATTGCATTGCCTTGCATTTACTGCAGACTAAAAGTGCACATAGTTGGGTTCTTGTGGCTGAGCCAACATGCAGCTGCAACTACACCAACACACCATGATGGTGCACTGGAGCTCATGGCCAAAACAGTTGAGAGTTTTGTGAAACTGGAACAGATCAAGGCTTATGCTCAGCTCCAAAAAGAAGAAAAAAAATCAGAACAGTGCTTCTGATCATCAGTTTATACACCTAAAGGAGGTTTAATGGCTTTAGAAGGCATACTGAATGGTAATACCACTGTTTCTTTAAACATTTTGCCTTTTTTAGGATCCTGGCACATTATTTGCCCATGCTGTGGGTGGCAGGAAGATCTGCAACGTGTAGCGCACATATCTTCAGCTACACAAGCAAGTCAGTACTGCCAGTTACGACTCAGTAATAAGATGAAATAATGTGCCAGCCCTCAGACAGGTTGATCTTTCTGGGCACCCTATACTGATTCTCATTTCTTCTGTCACAGCACTTTACATACAACCTCTCCTCCATCCAATTTAAGCTACAAATCTTACATTGCTCTCTAAGGCACAGAAACATTAAGGTTTCTAACCTTAATTAAAGCTTAAGCAAGATGCTCGTCTTTAGGTTTTAATCAATGCAAGCTACTGCATGCTACAGCTTTGTTACTTATTCCAGCTTCTACAAGCATAAATGCTGCCACTTATCAGTGGTATTACCTACCCTGACCAAACTTGAAAGATCTTCATCTTTATGTTTCTGTAACTGCAAAAGGAGAACAAAAAAGATGTTAAAGTCAAAATAGGTCCTGTATATGCCAGTATAAGACTTGATCTTGCAAAACTTTTAAGACCCAATCATGCACAATTAGTCCCTGCACAATAATTTTTAGTTAGGTGGGACTAATCAGATGAGTATGCCTGTACTAGCTTATCATCTGTTTTAAGTATTCTTGCACGCTAGCAAGCTTTTTGACTCAAAAAGCAACGACATACTGATCAAGTTCAAGTAAGCTATTTTCACTGTGTAAACCAACAGACCCTTTTCTTGAAGTACGTTCTCCACTTGTGGTATTCCCTGATGACTATTTCAATTCTTCGTTTCCAGTATTTCCCTTCTGTTGCAATGGCCTGAGAACACAAACACATACCACGAATTACATGGAATCAAATAATGGCTGAATGTTCAATAAATTTCCAAGCAAATATTCAGGCATAAAAATGCAAAAGAAAGCATGCTAATTCTGTTTGAGCTCATGTATCAGCAGCCCACACTGTCCCAGAGTTCAGCTATCACAGAGCAAATCTGACAGTACTAACTTCATCTTTCCCACAATAAACAAAAAAGAGATGATGCCTGACTGCACTGTCAGCATCTCCCACATCAGCTCAACCATACCAATAGTTATGAAATGGAAAAAACAAACAAACAAACTTTAAAATGAATCCACTAAAATATAATGTATAAAGCATACCCTGTTCTGCAGAAAACAGGCAAAGAGAATTTCACAAAGTTACATGAACATGCACACACATACACAAAAGCTGCTAAGAATGACACAAAGCAATAGAAATCTGATGTCCAGCTCAAGGAGAAGCGTGACCTTGCAGGCCACATACCAAAAGCAACAAAAAAATCAGAACAATGTGCGTCTTTAATGTATCACAGATAGCAGTGTATAAGCTGGGGATAGCAGACTGATGAGAGCTTTAGCACAACTTTCTTGTGTTCGAGGGCCATCTTTCAACACAAACATCAACACTGTTCTTTCAAAAACCTGAGACAGTGCCACAAACCCATCTGCAAGCCCTCCGAGTTATAAATTATTCTGCAGTTATGCAGTATAGAGAGAGTCACATATTGCCACATCAAGAGCCTCACTCATTTTCCGCAAGGAGACAGACGGCAGAGTTAGTTTTCATTTATGTTTACAAGAACACAAAAATGAAAGTATGCAAACTCATATTTGCTCTTTTTGTGAAGCTACCTTGACATCGAAAAAGAAATTGCTTGTTATCTTGAAACCACACTTCATCGATTAAATAAAATATAGAAAACTCTTACAGGGTCACTTGGATTCAACCATGAAAACAGTCATCACACTAATTTCCCACTGACTTCAGCAATCTCCAGCCAGAAGAGAACAGTGGCCGTCAAAATTTTAACTACTCAAATTGCACTTCTATCACTTACGTTTCACTAAGCTAGAACACAGACATAAGTTACGTAGATATTAAATGTCCTTTCGGTTGCAGCTTGATCATCTCAATGTGATAAACTTACAAAAATGGGTTCAGTCTGCTCTTCTATTAATGGTTCCTTCTAAATAAAGACAACAGAGCAAAGAACTGCTATGCTGCTCTCATATCTAGTGGACTAGAAAATCTTGTTATAAACTCTAGAGCTTATTAGTCTGTTCCTCAGGTTTTACATACCTCTGGCCGACGATGTTCATCAACATCAACAGAGCCATCCAGTGGAGTCACAAAGTGGCACACTGGATTCTTGCGCTTCTCCAAGTCTGAAACAAGAATGAAAATGTGAGTGCTCAGCATGTGCAGGCTTTGCAGAGAGCTCTATCACTTCAATGGCAAGATGGGGGGGGGGGCGGAAATCTATCCAGGGCTCCTTCCAGGTAACCAACAGGAAATGAAGAAATCTCAGGCTGTGCTTGGACTGCTCAGTACAGCCTCTGCATGGACACCTCTAAGAAAGCACCGATCCAATGGCACTGCCACGACAGCCTCCGAGACATCTGGGCCTTCAGCAGACTTTTGAGCTTTCCATTAGACAGTAATTCAATTCTCTTGCTTCTTACATATATGTCTCTTGAGAAATATTTTATAGCAAGCAACACAACGGAGCATGATACTTACACTGCATGTACCATGCCCTCCAGATGGCGTTATTGAGACGGATCTTATCTCTCCACTGAAGTTTCAAGCCTTTAAAATTTTTCCATTTTGGCGAAACCAGCTTTCCACTGAAAAAAAAACAGACAATAAATCATTCTGCTTTCTGTTTTTCTCTCCCTTCAAGACAAAGCATCTCCCTAAAACTGCCAAACTGTCAACAGAAAAAAAATACAACAAGCCATGCTTGGCCAGTGACAACTGTTACTATACACTGTCCACAGTTTACTGATCTAGGTGCCAGAATGAGTCCAGTTTTCAAGACTCCTTCCTGTTCTCATCTGCCTGCTAATAACTGTCACAAAGGGTCTCACAAGTGTCTTCAGCAGGACTGAAGCTCATTTCACCCACGCTTTTCTCCTTGCCAGTATCCCACCTTCTCAAATGCCAGCCTATGAGCTTCCATCAAGTGAGAACAAGATTGCTCAAGATTAAGCCCAAAACCTGGCTTAGAGGTTTTTGCATGTTTGGCCACATACAGTTTTGACTTGGATTTTGCCAACGAGCTGGATGAAGTCAACACAAGTTCATTTCTATAGTTCCATTCGATTTTCCAGGCTGGTAACACTGGAAAGGAAGAACGAAATGCCAGTTCTGGCCCAAGAAAAACTGTGACCCACCAATTCTACAATGCTGGTAAACACAGCTGGGCACAAAGAATCACCAACAGGCTAGAAATAGTAACTTTTCTGCAAGGAAAGGGAAGGCTGGAAAGAGAAATGGCTTATGTATGAACAATCTTGGGAGGTAGGAGAGAGATGGAAGGAAAAAGGAAGAAGCAACAGGGACTCCAGTAAACACTGTATAAACAGAAACTACCCAGCCCTTAAAACACACCTTTACAAATCAGTAATCCTTACTACCAACAGAGCAGAGGAAGTAGGAAATATTCATGATGTAATAAATTTCATGACACCGATTAAAGTTAGGTATTGCGCCTCTCCCAGGTTGTTCTTCTCATTTCTTGTGGTTTTAGCCATACATCTTCCTACTTTACATCTCCTTATGCTGTTTGTGCATCCTTGCTACAATGGAAGTGGACCAGCAATACAAGCCGCAATGAATATGACAACACATGCAAAGGCAACAGGTTCATCCTGAAACATTATGAGCATCACGTCAAGAGGCTAAAGTCTTCTGTAGTGAAGAGTACACAAACGAGTGACAGGAGCAACATCACTTCCAAACACTTTGGCCTCTCAGAAGAGATCACCCAGCACTGGGTCAATCGAGAGTGATTTCTACCATGAATGAATTACAGTGACACCAGGGAGAGAGATACTAGAACTGGCCTCTGCTAGGGCACTGTGTATTTGCTAACACACATTCAGTACAAATGAACTCCAAGAGATTAATTATTCTTCCTTTAAAGTCCCTGTTTTACACTTAAGCTCTAAAAATCACTGTGCGAATAGGAAATACACCCTACAGAAGTGGCAGGCACTTCCCTTGGCTCGCCCAAGGCCATGCAGATGCAGGCCTGAAGCTGGAGAACTGCTGATTCCCAGTTTCCTACTTTGTCTGGGAAACCTCTTGATAGCAGCTCTTTTTAAAGAAAACTTGTAATAAAACTTGTAATACTTTAAACAAGTAAAAAGTCCTCACAGCCTACACAAAAGAAGCCAGAACGCCAGAGCTGCCAATAGTAGGATATTAAACTACCGCTTTCTTCAAGTATTTGGCTCGTCATTTCTTTTCTCCCTTGCTAGCACCACAACTGCTGTTACCACTCGGGTACCCCCACAACCGCGACAGTAATATGAGCAAATGCCAGACCTCAGCCAAGTGAGCAGGTAAAGAAAAGCCAGCTCTGCTCTTTCAATTTTACTACCACATATAATGCCACTCGTAGCAATAGGTTAAATCACCATCAGGTAAGCTGTTGCCCGACAGTAAAAAGATTTTTTTTTTTTTTTTCCTCCTCATCCTCTTTAAAAATAAACTGTTATGCTTTTGTATGCACAGGGACGCGGGTGTAGAGACTAGATATCAACTGCACCAAAAGGACAATTCACAGCAGCAAGAGAGCAGCTAAGTGACAAGCTCGCGAGTCCTGTGCTCCCCACGGTCCATGCCCAGCTGCCCCTCAGGCTGTATGCTGCACGCCGAGCCTCTAGGCTATGCTATAAGGCTCTGCTCCAGCCTTCGGGACTCAGCTGCTTGAGAAGAAATAAAGTACAAACAAAATTTGGTACACAAAATAGAACACTCTCTCCCTCTTCGGCAAGTAGACATGCTGGAGCAAGCAACTTCACTGACTGGAAGTAATAGTAAACCATGTAAACTATTAGCAAGAAATAGGAAAAACAATTATTAATGTACTTGTGTTATTCTCTGTAGCTGGGCTCCAAGACACTCAAAACACCACACTTTGTATGCTCACTGAAGTCTAGGAAAGCCCTTCTGGATTTGGGGTTTTTTTTGTATGTTTTTTTTGTGTGTGTGTGTGCGCTAGTGCACCCATATGCCACTCTTTGAAATGCATCTCCCAAAATCCCACTTCCAAGTTTCAAGACTCTTTCAGTTTATGGAAAGATCTCCAAATTAAGTAGTTTATCTCACTGTTATCCAGCTGCTGTGGGCCAGGGCAGACAGTGGATCTCCATCTGTTTAATATTTTCCCCATCTCTGCACACTATCTCATCACCTTCACAGTGTTCACTGCATAGCCAGCTCTGCCTCAAAAATCACTGCATACCTTGTCATTCCTTCTAAACCCAGCTTAAAGCACATCGTTTTCTGTTTCGCGTATGTACATTAACAGTTCGGAGACAGGAGACTAACATGCTGATGCATCACCAACACTGACAAAATGCCCACATGCCTTTGACTAAGAAATCTGTCAAGTTAATGTTCATCTCCTCACAGCTCTGTGTGATTGGACAGTTTGCCAAAGCAACAAAACTCCAATAATCTTCAGTCAGAACAACAAGAACAAATGCTTTTCTACAAAAAAACTAAAAAGAACTGCAATTAATTCTTGTACACTCCTTGCATCTTCAAAGAGCCAATTAAAACTGGAATTAAAACACAAATAGTTTAAAACATTTTCTATTACATTCTTACAAAATGCTAAACAAAAGTAGTGCATCAAAAGAAGGAAGTGATTAAGAACCTATTCTTAAAATAATTATTATTTTTAGTTCCCATGGGAGCAAAGTACAAGTCCAACTTGAGGTCATAAGTGAAACAACTTCAGCCTCAGTGGAGAGGAATCAGCATGAAGCTGACAACAATATTTAGACACGATTCCAAATTCCAAAGTCAATGGAGAGTCAATTACTTTGAAGAACACTGTGGCTGAGAGCAGCTAACTGAAACTCAGATTTTAAAGCAGCGAAACAACAACAAAATAACCCAAATGGAGAGAACCACTGGCTGCTGCTCCTGCCAGCTCCCCACCTTCCAAGATGGCACCAACTCCTACAAGAAAAGAAGAGCAACTAGCCCACCAGCTAGACGGTCACAATGTACCTGAGAGCATAAAACGTTGGCACACACACGGTCCTCGCTCTTTCTACAATAGCTGCTGCAACTCTGCAGGAGTGCTGGTTCCAAAAAGGGGAGGAGGAGAGCGTCCCAAGGGAGGCTCGGACCAAATACTGCATGGTACAAGCCGGGACAGCTGCATCCACACCAGCCAGTGGCATGGCCTAGAAGATGCTGGTGCTGCCCAGACGGTGCCCGAGGAGAGGAGCGCAGAGGGAACTATGCTCTCGGTTGCTTTCCGCAGGGGTCGTTGCTGCCAGAAGCACAGCCTGTGCCACCCAGGATGTGCCAGCCCATGTCAGCAATGCTGGAGCAATATGTGACTTCAGTATCTTCATCACTATCACACACAGATCAAATCAAAGTGGCTGAAAACCATCTGGTGGATAACATGCAATACATTCCAGCAGCTCAGTTCAGTCTCCCGTGTAGAAATCTCCACCTCCTGAGACCAAATGTCCTCAAGTGATTTCATCGCAGCAAACCAACTAAAAAACCTTCTGCTAAACAGCCAGAGCTGGAATTCCCTTGGACACAGGGGCCCCCAGGTGCTTTGGAGGAGTTGCAGTGTTTCCAGAAGAGACGCTGCAGACAATCGAGGCTGCCACTTCCATATGTTGCAGGTTTCACCTGGGAGTCCTGGATATGCCAAGAGAGGCTGGAGTCCATTCCCAAGTTTTTTTTACATACTTCTCCCCAGCTCAGCAACTACCTCAGGCAACTGAGATCCAGGCAGGCAGGTAGGTAACACAGCACTGGTCTGTCATTTTTAAAATTAAAATCTATCCATTTTTAAAATTCCAGTGAAAGTAGCTGTGTTTTAAAAACAACTACACACCTTCAAACACCACAAGATTTGCAGCAAAGTACAAATAACGGGTGTCCATTGCGAGAGCGTGACCTCCCTTAAACACGTTTGATTTTTAGACTTATTCTTCAATCAAATGAAATGTAATTAGGGAGAAAGTTTGTATTCTAACATGGTACAAAACAAATTTTACCCTGCCAATGTCCATTTTTATGCAAAGTTTTGCCTCTGAGAATCTCACAGTTTTCTCCTATGTTAATAACACCCAAAATAAAGCATTTCAGGCACACACAGGCAAATAGTACCAATGGAGGGTTCTTCCATTCTTGTCTCGATAAATTTTTAAGACTGTATGTTAAAGGGTTGCTCTCCACTGGTGACTAGCCATGAACAGTATTTTGAGTGTATGCCCAACAAATATTATCTAGAAGAGCAGTTAATGAATGATCGTACAAAGTATTTCAGTGATGCTTTTGACTCAGTAGGGACAAGGCAAATGGGTGACTTTCTTCATTAAGAGGTACCAGGCGTGTGAAATGCCATTCACAGCTGTTAGCATGACTTCAAATTTAAACCAGTAGCTCTCTACAACTCTGAAAAACCATTTAATCAAACTCAATGGAAAAACTCCTGCTGACATCAGCAGAAGCATGATCAAGCTCTGATATACGATGACTCACAACAGAAGAATCCCCTGTTCTCCTCCCTTAAATCAGAGGATTTTAAGATGGACTTCAGTCAGCATAAAACCACGTGACACAACCACCCTCTGGATTTGGACAGAAATGGACATTTATCTGTGTACAAACCCAGAAGAAGTTTGGGGGTTTTTTCATTGCTAACCAGCATTAAGAAATGCAAGCACTTTAAGAAACACCGATTTCTACAGAGAGCACTGAAGGGGCAGAAAAGGAGAGTTTTAAATATTAAGATGACTTACACCCAAAACAAGACAATCTCAGAAGGTTGGTCTAGGTCAGCTTATATAATCCCTATTTAAGAGGTGGTTTGAATACATGTTGATTAAATGGAAAGTATACAGTATGGTGTTGCAGAACTTACATTTTTTTATACGGCTCAAATGCTTTATTAAGCTGTTTCTGATTCAAATTGCAGTTCCCCATTTTTTATCTACCTCAGAAATGGTCAAAACGGTACCGTAACATTATGTTTCAAATCCTTTTCTAATAGAAGACAATAGGGAAGTCTTTGCTGTAAGTACCAGTCTGAAAAATCCGCTTCCCCCTTTCAGAAAAAAATTAAGTTCATTCTCCACACTAGGACATGTAAATGTTGCTGAGCAAGGAATTTCAGCTGGCAAGCTATCTTGTGATTGTAGTGAACTAAATGCTGCACAAAATAAGAGGTCTTTAGAATACCCTGTGAGGGAAGAAACGCGTATCTCTTACTTGAAAGTAAAGGAAACAGTGAGACTGAATTCTATGCCCATGGCTACGAAGTGCGTGACTGACAGCACTAGAAGCGGGACACAGATTTTTCTGACACACCGCCATACTCTGCATGTAAAATGCTCATTTTCACCCTCTGATCTTTCACTTGTTTTGATATGTAGGGTCAAGGAGAATCTCTGGCTAGAGTTGGCTCTCTAGTTCAGGAAAAGTTATTTTTTTCTTTTGCACTCAGACAGCACCTGGCCTAGATCTATCGTACAGGGAATTTAAACATAAACCTCTGAGGGCTGTGGCTCAGATTCCCCAGGTCTGACCCTGCTGCCCAAAAATATATTCTCAGCAAACACATCAAAGATACCTTGAAAAGCAGCTACTGCAGATCTGCAGTACTCACTCTTCCCATGCAGACCATAGAGGTCTTGTGTACTATAGGTGTAAGCAAATCATTTTGTTTTCAAATCTGAATTTTGTAAATTCAGTTTACAGGAACAAGCTACAGAAATGTATTGCGTTTTCCTGTTTAGTTAATGGATTCCCACTGCCCTTGTGCTAAAAGGCCTCTTTTTTGCCTTAACTCCTGCCTCAAAACTCACGTCCTCTGTGCCTTTCCCCCCTCCCTGCCCCGGATTCCTTCCTGTACATGATCATGCAATCTTTTGAGGTAGACCAAGATTTTTCCTTTTATTGCAGGTGATTGTAATGAGGCTCTGAATTTAAGCAACAGGGAAAAAAAATCCAGTTTGATATTACAGTAGCTAAATAGATTAGTTTTTTCAGCAACACAGAAAAGGAACTTTTTGGCTTCTTCCCAGCATTTTTTTTTTTGAAGGCGTGGTTTTAGTTTGTTTTTTGATCTCCAATCTGTTTTGCTGGGGAGTTGGGCCTGTCAGCTCAGCTCTCCAAGAGCCAAAACTAACAGTATTTCCTCAAACAAAGGTTCATTCAGAGAATCAGATTAAATGCATTGTGTGCTGCAGCAAAGAGGCAGGCAAGTGAAACAAAACCATTTCTACACTGAGTGAATGTGTGTAGGACTTGCAAGGAGGCCACGTTTTAGCATCTTACTATTCGTACCTACAAAGTTAATCCCAGCTGCAGCCCTAGGATACTAATCCCACACAGCTCATTTTAAAAGCAAGCTCATTTTCTCGGTTACCTAGTTCATCCTCCTGACCCGAAATCCTCCTGCAGTAGCAGATTCCAGGTTTGAGAGGGGATGTTTTATTGCCCACACTCCACAAATGACAGTAGGGAGCTTTGTGCTGAAGTTTCATCAAATGTTTTAAAACAACCAAACCCTCCCCACTTTTGATTCATCTCCTTTTAAAAATAATACTTCAATCTTGAAGACAGAGATACTAGAACAGACAAATATTTTTCCTCTATCATGAGCATTATATACTAAGTGTTACCACCAAAAAAAAAAAAAGAATCAGTTATCCACTGGCAAACTGGAATTGCAATACCTGCCAAGGAACATATCTAAACGGATTTCACACAGGAAGGCTGAGGTATGCACCTCCTGAAAAGGAATAGGAAAGTAAAAGATCAGTCATACACCAGAAGCAAACATTCTACCACAACGAACACACTAGAAAACTTCATTTATTTATTTTACAAATTGAACATTACTTTAAGCAAAGTTGGGAAGTTTAACTTAATTTGCATAAATGACGGTTCGCAGTGTCTGGGCTCTTGCTCTGATGAAGACCCCGTCTATGCTGGCGACTCACGAATGGACCCGTAAGTGTTGCGGCATGCCGAGCGCTACCCTGGCTTATTCGAGCAGACCTGTGCTTTGCCAAGGCAACGTACTGCAGCCTCCTCAGAGAAAAGTAAGAGCTGAAAAACTCACGTTTGGAGAGTACTATCACATCTACACCAACACCTTTTCAGGTCAGTCAAGGAAAGGAGTTTTGCGCTGTAGCTTTAGCCAAACATAACATGGCCAAGATCTGCTCTATGAAGAGGAAGGCTTGCAGACAGCTCGGAAGGACCACTGGAGAAATGCTTTCAATAGAAGCAGTTTTCAGGCAAGTTATGGAAGGGTGAAAAGAGTGCTGAAACAGCACAGGGCAAAGGGGAACATAAAGAACAGAACAATTATCAACGAGACTTGGAAGCTATAGGGTCCTTCAGCCAGCGTCTATTTAAAGACTCAGAATATTTAGACAGTTTCTCATTTCCAATCAGAAATCAAAGAGTATTTCTAAAAATGTTCTTGCTTTTCAGACATTTGTCCAACATTGACTCACAGAACTGAAAGAGCAAGAAAAGAGAAAAAGCTTCATAAGGAAGCTAACGTCACTCCTATTTCAGTCAACAGGCTGAGAAACGGACCTCACCGTCACCATCTATTGCTGCTAACTCTTGAGCAAAACCTCTCCTTGTTCCCTGCTGTATTTAAGTTTGCCCACCTACAGAAGTAACTTTATAAGCATTAAAACTTTATAAAATGTCACATACTTCAAAGGTCAAAAATGAAGACTTTCTTCAAAGAACTACCAGAGATATCACCATGAAAAAAAGGCACTGACATACGGAACTTATGCAATGCTTTGTGATCTAGGGTCAGAAGCAAGCACCACTACTTCCATTTGCCCAAATCTGAAATACCAGGATGAAGAGCAGCTGCCCATGGCCACAAAGTATGTCAGTGGCAAAGCAAGGACAGAGCACCAGCTGATCATCTCCCAGCCACACGTCCTGTACTGGAAATGCTACTAGCAAGAGTAAGTTTTCGCAAGGATTAGATTTCCATATTTCTGTTTACACATTCCCCAGCTCTTGGTGAATTTCCCAGCATGACAGAATAATTTATGAAATATTTTAATATGCTCAGTAAGAAAATGGTATAAAGGTAACACTCTAAGAACCAAGCTGACCTGAACCTGCGCTATCATTTTATTTGGCATTGCTGTTTCTCAGCTTGTGTTTGGTC